TCGCCAAATCTAACCGCCTCTTATCGACTAAGCCGTTCGTAGGTTACACAACGTATCCGTTTGAGAAGCGACCGAAACGCCGACGCCGGTTCGATGGTGTCAATAGTTTTGATTAATACAGCTGTAAGTAAAAAATTCATATTTCCAACAATCAGGTTCCGAAAATCACATGTACTGTAAGCCGGAAAAATAATCCGGCTATCATTTTTTCTTGGCGATGTTAGGCAAATAATATAATAAATGATTTTTATAAATCAATGTTTATATTACATTTCCTTTTTTTGGTTTAGATTAGTTAAGATCGATTATCGTTATAGCATGCATAATCGATAATTTTATACAGCGTAAAGTCGTTATTCTCTTACAACTATAAAATTACTTTTATTTTGCTCTAAACCAAACCAACAACGAAAAAAATCTTCTCTGTATATCCAAAAAAACAATTGCCAATCTTTTATTTCATATAACACTATATAATCTTCACTATGCGACATATTTTATATAAGCTATTCATTCTCTGGATGGCCCTCATTTTTAGTTTATCACTTTATTTAATAATATCAAATGATATTACAAATGTAGAGAATATAGAGAATATGACTAATCACACGAACGTGGAAAATGTTAAGAAATACGAGAAAGTGAAATATTTAGAATTTGACCTAGTATATAATAATTACGTTAAGAAGCATGATAGAATAGTTTCCGAGCTATTAGGGTCATCTGACAAATCTACTTTATCAGAACTTCCGAAAGTTGTTGTTGTCCAACCAGACTTGACTAAAGGATACGGAAACCGTATACCTTCAATGGTTTGTGGGTTTATATATGCACTGATGTCTGATAGGTTATTCTTTATTGATGGATATGATAATTTCACAGATTATTACGTGAAAGACTTTGAGCATGACTGGAAAATCGTTTCAAAAATGTATGAAAACAGTACCAACAGATATCTACATGATGCTAATGATTATAATGATTTTCCGTTGGTTGCGAGAGGAAACTTTAGCAACGAAAAAACAGATATTTTATATGTTTACGCATGGGACTACGTATGCGCTCCAATAACGTCAAATCCTCATTATAAGAATTGGTTTGATAAAATAATACCTGATTATAGAGTTTTTACGGCATTCAGCCTGAAATTAATAAGATTGCATCCAAATATTAGCAAACAAGTAGAGACTTTTGCCAACAATAATTTTAACAATTATAATATAGGAATTCATTTAAGGGAGAAAAAGACAATAGATGATTTAATAACGCCCATAGATCATTTTAGTCTGGTAGCGAAAATGTTGATATTGGGAATGAAAAACACGGACATAACTATCTTTGTGACTGCAGATAGTAATGATGGTCGTAATAAATTAGTAAATTTACTTAATGAAATGGTTACTTATAATAACAATTCTATTAATATAGTTCATGCTAATGATGATATGGATGCTCAAAATCCACATAATTCGAACACTGGTACGGAAATAGGCGCTCTTATCGATATGAAGTTGCTTAGTTTATGTGATGACCTGGTGATTACATATGCTTCATCATTCGGTTTCACTGCAGCAGGGTGGTCCCAAAAAACGTATCACCGAAGGGGTCCATTTGTTGTAATGCCAATAAAAAACTCGAGCGATGATTTTTGGATTTCGGACAAGGTTTGGGTGTATGGTGCTACATCAAGTGAACCTTGCATGTACCTAAGTAAGTGGGTAATTGATAATGAAGATGAAGAAACCTCTAGGGCTTTTAGGTCCCATCCATTATGGATGCACTATAGTCAATGCCATTGGCCGATTTAGATTCACATACACGTGATTTCAGTTATTCCAAATTTGGGGTATATGTTTATAGAGTATCCGTGCCATGCTAAATTAGAGTATAGGATCGTTATTAAGCATCAATGGTACTGTAA